TATATATATATATATATATATATATATATATATATATAATAAAATACACACACACATAGAACTTTTAATCTTACATAAAGTTGAGGCACCATCTAGGCACTAGAAATACAACAGTGAATAAAACAAACAAAATCGCTATCTACATAAAGCTTACATTCTAATCAAGGGAGACATGTATATAGGTAAAATATAAAGTATATTTTGTAAAATATATCAGGTAAGGCAGTAGAGAGTGTTCTTGAGGAGGGGATGGGTATTCTGGCCTATAGATTTTGAAAGTATAACATAGCCTAAGCATCACAAATACCAGGAAATCCATACCTAGATATGTCATTGTGAACCCAGATTATCTATAGTAAAGAGAAGTACTTACAAACACATAGAGTAAAAAGCAAATAATTTGCAAAGGAATGGCTGTAAGCCTGACAAACTTTTTATGAGAAAAATGGAAACCAGAACACCTCAGAATAATAGCTTTAAACTATTGTGGGGAAAAAATTCTGTATACTTAAAATTATGTTCTCATGATTGTATATAGTATTTTAAGAAGGGTGAAATGAGGGCTTCTATAAATGCTAAAATCTGAGAGAGTTTACCACTAATAAATCTTCATTGACAAGATTTTAAGAAATATACTTCAGGAATCAAGAAATGCAAAACAAAATGGTAAACAAAGAAATATGTAAGCATTTTAGTTAAATATAAATAAGAGTGGTCTATCAAAAACAATTTTAAAAATCTACTTTGTGGAGTTAGAATGGCCAACCCTAAAAAACGGAAAAACAGTATTCATATTTTAAGGCAGTGGTGCTGGCTTAAAATCTTATAAGACTATAACATTCTTATTTGGAAGAAGATACACATTATTAACTTTACACTTTGTAAAATTCCATGGGAAATTATGAAGGACAACAGAAGAATAGAAAATAGAATTTATAATTTTCAAACGTGTTTTGAAAATGTGTGATAACATAACAAAAAACATTGACAAGAATAAGTGGAAAAAGAAGGGCAGAATTATAGAAAGTGAAAGCTAAAAATTCATGATACAATTTTAAATAAATTAAAAAGCAGCAAATTAAGATTATATTGATTATAGGTTTGGGAGTAGACAATGGGTGAAATTTTGGGGGCAGGAATATACAGATAATTACAACAATATGGGTAATGTTCTATTTCTTGTATTTCATGGTGATTAATGGAAGGTTATTTTGTTATTTTTTATATATTTCCATATGTATACACCAAAATATAATATTTTAGAAATTTAAAAATTATATGCAGTGGCAATATTCAAATTAGAGAAAAATACAACTTGCGTGTTTCCTCCTTTTTTCCTTCTCACTTACATGTATTTAACATGAAAATTCCACTCACTGATGTTTTAAGTTACTGTACCTGTATATATTTTGAAAGTACAGATCTTTTCCTTGTGCTTTCTTTCTTATTTTGTCTGTCTCTTCATGAAATGAAGTCCCAGCATTTAAATTGATGGCAAATGTGCTTCATTCTACAAAGGCAAAAGCCATCAGTCTTCGTGTTATCCGATAGCCTCTACTGTCCTGTCATCTGTCTTTTCCAAGTGGACTTTGTTAAACAAGACACAGATATACAGTAATGTCATTGATAATGTTTGTCATCAACTCAATTTGTAATTTCAAATAAATGGAGTGTATCTTGAAAACTAAGCATCAATTTAAATAAATCAGATTTGCCTGTGAGCTTATAAAAATGAAGCAAAGATTCACACATTAAATTCTGCACTACTGAGCTATTACAGTGCTGTCCAGATGTACTATTCTTCTAAATTGAACAACTCAGCCCATACACTTTAGCCCTGTGAATTCCTTTTTAAAGATACTTCACTTTTAGTTCAAAAACCTGAAAATGGAAGCATTTCTTTTTTTGCCTGAGGAAGACTTAATATTTAAACAGGTTCAGCTTGAGCAATATCCACATGCTGCTGAGGGTTTACTCTTTAAAATGTCATAGGCTTCCACGTAGAATATTGGTAAGATACTGTGGTTAGCAAACTTTTTCTTTTCTTTTCTTTTCTTTTTTTTTTTCTTGAGACAGACTTACTCTGTTGCCCAGGCTGAAGTGCAAATCTTGGCTCTGCAACCTCCATCTCCCGGTTCAAGCAATTCTCCTGCTTCAGCCTCCCAAGTAGCTGGGATTACGGACACGCACCACCATGCCTGGCTAATTTTGTATTGTTAGTAGAGAGAGGGTTTTACCATGTTGACCAGGCTGGTCTGAAATTCCTGATCTCAGGTGATCCACCCACCTCGGCCTTCCAAAGTGCTGGGATTACAGGCATTAACCACCGTGTCTGACCAGCAAACTTTTTTTATGTCTGAAAAAAAGCTACCAATTCACTTCTAGGCTTTCAGTGACAAGGAAAACTGAACAGTTTAAGATAGCTTAATAAAGGTTCAAAACCAGATGCAAATATGATGAATTCACTTAGTGAGCTTTTTGGAAATATGCCAGATCTTAACTCCAAGAGGGCACCAAGCTTGAATTAATTGCACTATTTCTCAATTTCTCTCCTTTACTCCCTAGAAGTATATATCACAAATTTCATAATTATCATTTTAGTGCCTATCGTATATTTTTATTAATATGTTTACACCTCAAAATAATTTCATTTTGTGTGTTTTTAGATTTTATGTGAATGTATGATTATGTGGTTTTTATCTTAATGTGTTTTTAATATTTATTTATGTTGATGTATGTAATTTTCTCTTTCATTAATTTTCACTATATGTTCATTCTTTACTTGATAGCTATTTTGTATTTTCTCAGTTACAAAAAATAAATAATAAACATGCTTTTGCATGTCTTTTTAATATTTAAAAATTGAAACAGAATGGAATGGAATAAGAGAAAATAAAATGTCTGAATGTATCACACATAGTAACGGTATTGTTTCATGTACCTTTTTTTTCTTAAAAAAGTATGTTTGTATGGGATTGTACTATAAAAAATATTTTTTTACTAGGAATGGTGGTCAATATTTTTTAAGTATTGCTTTAAAATATATAACTAGGAATTGAATTCCTTGAAAGTAGGGTACAAGCATCTTCAATGGATATTTCAAATTTCCTCTCCAGAATGTTGGTACCCACTAAATCTCAAGAGCAGTGAGGATGAAATCTTGTTTCTGTATAGCTTCACCAATGCTTCTGAGATACTGATTGTTTCTCATAGTTTTAAATTGCATTGCCTTCACTGGCAATGAAGTAGGTTGTCTGTTTTTCTTATTAGTCATTTTCTTTCCCTTTTCAGTGAACCTGCCTGTTTATAGTCTTTGCCACCATCTCTTATTTTCTTTTTACTATTGGCAGTCTGTCTTATTTTTGTATTGTGAGAGGTCTTTATCATCTCAGATCTATGTCTCTTTCATGGCCACCTTGTTCAAACTTTTTTTTTAGTAGTCCGTGGTTTACAGTTAACTGTACAGTTTTCAGTTAAATTATCTTGTCATATTCTATATTCCATTTTAGGTTATCCCCATATCCTAAGTGCTTGTTTAAAATACTGCATGAATTAAAGTTCACTCTTTGTTATGTGAAATGTTTTGGGTTTTGGCAAATGCAAAATGTCATTTAGCATTACTTTTTAGTGTCATAGATACCATAGCATTTCTGTCATTACAATATTATACAGAAGTTTCACCACTTTAATAATTCTCCCATATTTCACCAATTCAACCAGAAAACCACAAACATGTAAACACACACACACACACACACACACACACACACACACACACCCACCCACCCCAGTTAAACAGTGGTATCATTACTTTTCATCATTGAATTGTATCCTATTGTATGAATGTAAAACATTTTGTTTGTATATTCTAGTATTTAAAGGACATATTGGCTGCTCCATATTTTCATGATTAGAAATAAAGCTTCTTTAAAAACTCATATGCAGATTTTACATGGAGATTTTTTCAAATCAGTTGGGTAAACATCTAGGAGTGCAATTGCTGAATTGCATATTAATACTCTGTTTAGCTTTGTAAGAAAGTGCTCTACTCTCTTCCAAAGTGTCTGTACCATTTTGCATTCTCATCAGCAAAAACGAGTGTTCCTGTTGCTATGAATCCTTACTAGCAATTGATATTGTCAGGTTTCTGTGGAATTATGTCATTCTAATAGGTGTGAAGTGGTATCACTTTGCTGTTTTGATTTGTATTTCCCTAATTACAAATGATGTTGAGTACATTTTATATGCTTATTTGTCTATTGTATATCTTTTTTGGTGAGGTGAGATATCCTTTCAGATCTTTTGCTTATTTTTCAGTTGGTTTGTTGTTTTCTTACTGTTGAGTTCCAAGATCCTTTGTGTGTTGTGTATACACGACCTTTATAAAAGATACGTGGTTTGCAAATATTTTCCTCCTAGTCTGTAATTGGACCTTTTAGTCTTAAGTAGTTCATTTTAATTTTAAAATTCATTTTAAGGTATTAAGATAAATGTGATATCTACTTCTTATGCTATTGACTATTCTATTCTTCATTTTAGCCAAGTGATACTATTATTATTGGCAATGCATGTAATACAGTGACAGTTGCTGTACTCTTTAAATATCTTCCAGGTCTCTGGAAGACCTTTAATCAACTTAGTCTAGTATAATAGTGGCTAGCTTCAGAAAACCTTAATAACAACCACAAGTTCAAGCAATGTTTTCAGCACATTTTTGTGTGTGCTAAACACTAAGGATATATCAATGACCAAAATAACATGGATCTCATTCTCACAAAGTAACAATGGAATAGGGAGAAGAGATAGTGAATAAGCAGTCACAGTGTGAACTAATGCAGATGCTCAGAGAAGATGAGAGAAAGCTTTTACTTACCCCACGCTATAGCTGTCGGCATCCAATGAAGTAAATAGAAACAAGAGGTAAAGAAAGAGCTGTGAAGCAAAATGGAAAAATAAGTCCACCTGGAGCTTAGGAATACCAAAAGGGTTAAAAGGGCAAGGGAAGAAGTAGTACTATATGCATCCAAGGTTTTAGTCAGCTGGGGGAAGCGTGATCTGTAGAGGAACAGTTTGGTGGTAGGTGGAACCATAGAAGAGATGCAGGTGTACACCAGTGATGTCACTGGAGACAGGGAGAGAGGGAAGGAGAAATACTCTAGCTTCTCTCTTCTTCCAGGATCTAGACTTCTGTAAGAGCTTTCTGTTGGCTGACCCCAGCCAAAGCCAGCAGACACAGGAGCTTAAGAATCAGTAGCAGCGAGCCTCCCTGAAATGCAAAGTGGAGCAGAAGCAGGGAGAATGAATGCACCAAGGGTTTGCCCCATACTTAGTATGGCACAACTTAGTTTTTAAAGAAGTATAATTTTTAGTGATAATTAGTAGAAAAAATTCTATAAAATTGCCCTTCTAATTTTATCCCTCCTCCATTATTTTCTCCTACATTCCCAAACTCTACTGGCCATCTAAACTTTTTTCTAGCGTAATGGCAAGAGAGAATGACCAGTGGTTATTTAACAGTTACTATTTGTCAGGCACTGGATAAGATGCTTTATATGAACCAATACAGTTACTCTAAGGAGTAATCTTAGATCTGAGTAAGTTGGTTTAGTTACATGCCAAGATTCCATAGATGCTAAGTGAAAAAGTTGAAAGTAAACTGGATGTGTCCAATTTCAGAGCCTAGGCTTTACATGATACAAGCAGACCCTGTATGATTCAGGAAGTGTGACATTTAACCATTACTTCAAAGTCATACAAGATACACTCAAATTCCAATGTTCTTTAAAAAAAGAAGCAAGAGAAAGTAAAATGTAGAACATCTGATTAAAATAAGTACATTCAAAAACTCAAACTATATTTTTGGAAGTATTTATGTTACTGTAGCCAGGACCATTTTTGTTACCAGTACAGAAATCCTCATAGACTTGCTTAGGACATAAAATATCCTTTAACCACAGACACCATAGGAGTGACATTTCTCTTTGTCTTTTTCCTGGGCAACATGGTTTCACTTTCATTGTGTTCTGGCTTGGGTGTATATCCTCAATTGCCTTCTTCTGCTGCCTCATAATTCCCACACCTTATAAATGTGCTGTGGCATCTCTTGCTAAGTGATGTTTTTTTCTTCTCTGGTAAGTACTAGAGAAGGAAAAAAAAAACACCTTATTTTCTGGCAAACTCTGCACATGTTCCTGAGATAGATATATTGTAATATCTTCACAGCTTTTCCAGGCCCTGGGTGCCTGATCACCTAGACATTGACTTCATTTGTTTCATTTGCCCATTTCTGATCTCTATGGAAAGATTTAGGGAGAAGTTAGAGATCTAAGAATCTGTGACAGAAAATATTTCTGCTGCCTCTTCATCAGTAATGGTAGAACAGAGCCTATTAAAAGTAGGGCAGTTGTTGAGACAACTTTAAGTAATACAGGTTCAACTTTTGCCAAGAAATTATTCTATTCCCTAAATGTAATGGTATTTGAAATTGGAAACAATGTCAAATATATACCATATTTTGTATTATTGTATTTCAAATGTATACCATATTGTATACATTTTGTATTATTGTATATACAAATATATATAATTTATACAAATAATACAAATATGTATCTTTGTATTATTGTATTTCAAATATATACCCTATATTGTATATACAAATATATAAAATACGAATAATTCAAATATATACCATATTTTATATTATTTTATTTCAAATACATACCATTTATTTTACATATATTTTATATATTTTATATTATTCCCAATGATACTCTTCATTGGGAACACATCTCCCTGACATTTTCAGCATCTAGGGCTATGCTCCTTGCATTCCTTGGTTCATGGCTCCCTTGTCCATCTTCGGAGCCAGGAGCATGGCATCTTCAAGTTTCTCTTTGCTTCTGTTACCATGTGGTCTACTCTCCATTCTGTCGTCCAATTTACCTTTGCCTCCCTCTTCTAAGGACACTTCTGATTACATTGAGGGACCACTTATATTATTCAGGATAATCTCACCATCTCAATATCCTTATTTTGATCAAATCTGCAAAGGCTTTTTTTTTTTTTTAAACCATAGAAGTTAACATTCACATATCTAGGGATTAGGACCTTGATATCCTTGGGAGCCATTATACAACCCACCATGAGTAATTTACCTCTGTGTGTGTGTGAGAGAGAGAGACTGTGGACTGTGAACTATGTAGGAAATGCAATGACAATAATACAAACTATGGCATATATTAAAGAGACTGAGACTGGGCTTGGTGGCTCATGGCTGTAATCCCAGCACTTTGGGAGGCTGAGGTGGATGGATCACCTGAGGTCAGGAGTTTGAGACCAGCCTGGTCAATGTGGTGAAACTGCGTCAATACTAAAAATTAACCGGGCATGATAGCGCATGTCTGTAATCGCAGCTACTCAGGAGGCTGAGGCAGGAGAATCGCTTGAACCTGAGAGGCGGAAGTTGGAGTAAGTCGAGATTGCACCACTGCATTCCAGCCTGGGCGCAAGACTCCATCTCAAAAATAAATGAAGAGAGAAGGAGCTAGAGAGAGAACATCTTTAGTTTTTGGAAAATATCCAAAGTTTGTTGTTTTCTTTCAAATTGGATTAAGGTTCTATAAAAGCTTCATATTGAACAAAATTCCCTGATGTATAATTAAGGGTTGTCTTAGTCCATTTTATGTTACTATTACAGAATAGCACAGACTGGGTAATTGAGAAAGTAAAAAGAAATTATTTCTTCCAGTTCTAGAAGCTAGAAAGTCCAAGGTCAGGAAGTCGGCACCAGGTGAAGGTCTTGCAAGCCGGATGAATATTCATTCCAAGTTCTGAACTCGAATTAAGTTGATAAAATTCTAAGTTTGGTTTAGCCTTTGAGCTAAGGGATTTTGATGACCATTGCATTGCTTTGGATGCACAATGGAGTTCTTCCTTCTACACTCTTTGCTTCTTCTTCTCCAGAATTCAAAATCTTTTGCCCATTCCAGGAAGGCTGTCTACAGCCTGGAAAACATTTGCTGTGGAATAAAATGTCTATTACATTTTCATTTCTATTTCCATCAAATTATTTTTCCATCAGCAACTGGGCAACATCCTCAGCATGTGTGACCACTGGTTTAAGACAAATTGCAGCAAATGGTCACCTACTGGAAAACCAGAGGTTGCCATAAAAGATCAGTCGGAAAGCTTGTATATGGCATAATGTTAATTTATTTTATACATCACAGGATTCAGCTTCTGAGAAGTAATAAATTTTATTACTCTTATTTTAATGCATATTTAGAAGCTAAATGATAAAAGCCGATGGTGCCTACTAGTATTTTGTACTTTTTAAATATGTTCTAAAAGCTATGAATCTAAATTACATATAATGATGCTAAAATGTGTTGTCCATCATGAATATAGTTATACACCTGACTTTCAAAGTTGTTTCAGTAATCTAGATGGTGACTTTGCACTAACTTTGTACTATCTCTGGTCATATAACTAATTCCCTTTGTGACCAATGGAGCATAGTTGTGACATGGTGATTTAAGATTTTGCTACAGCCTGTCACTGATGCAAGAGCAAAGTTAGAGGTCACAAATGGAAATTGATAAAAAGATATTATTTTAATAACACAAAATTACAACAAATGAAACAAATTAATCACAGATGCAGAGGCAAAATCGAGATACAGTGATTCCCATTATTCCTAGAGGATATTCAGAAATAATGGAATTATTGTTTTTCTTTTTTTGATAGATGTTAATAATAGTTATCACTGCAATTTTTAAACTTTTTCGAGTGTAAGAGCAAGGATTAACCCTGAGATGTTAAAATATAGGGATATTCAAGGCATAAAGTTTAAAAATAGAAATACTTTTATGAAAAAGTTGCTCAATTTGACAATTTTGACTATATAAACTAGAGCATTACATACTAAATTGGACTACATAAACTAGAGTAATACATGGAATTTTTTAAAATAGTAAATGAAGCAAAATAAAATACTCCATATGAAAGCCTTGCTGGAAAAAAAAGTGGTGTTTGACTTGAATTTCAACTTTTTTCTACTGGAATAAAATAGATTGTTCAGGAGGTTTTTTATTTTTAATGGAAATGATAATTACATCTTAAAAGTAAGAGAATGTTGTTTGCAACTCAAAAGACCTAAGGCAGTTGAAAAAGTAAATTTAAATCTGACAAAATGGTAGATTAAGTAGAAGTTTAGAATGAAAGACATACCTCTCTTTTCATTACCATTATTTTTCTTACTTTTTAGTACCCAGACTTAATTGATAGAAATGCCAGGTTTTGTTTGTTTGTTTTCCCTTCAACATATGTAATATATGGCTATCACTGGTTGAAGAGTTTTATTGTTCTGTTTGTTCTATCATACCCAGCGTAGCTTTACTTCACTCAGAGAAACCTCAACTGATTTTTCAGGAATGCTTAGTCAGTGATAATACCCACACAAAATTTTAATTCACTTTTGAAAACTTTCTCAAATGATCTTAGGACTTGTTCCCAGTCATTTCTGGTAATTGTAGAAGAATGCACCACAATTCAATTCTTACAGTAGTGCCCATTAACATCTTCTGCTTTTGTGGATCTCAGCATTTCTGTGACAAACTATGTTATTACAGATTTGTAACATGACTGTCTTTTAGTAAGTCATAGGGAGGAAACTTAAAATACATTTTTATAAAATATTTTGAACTAAATTTTATTGGTTGACATTAGACATAGGGTAATAGCACAAATTTTTAGTGGTAAAATAGTCATACAGGTATCACTTTTGCAATTACTAGTGTGTCAGTTTTCTTCATAAGAGACAGAAAATTGCAAAAATGAACTAGAAGGCTTGACTTCATAACATCTTCATTGTTTGGGCTTTATATTTAACTATTCAAGAGACATCTTGAATTAGTCAATCGTATATTATTCCAGAGTAAAAGTCCTCATTCTTTAAGATAATTTTGTATATTCACTTTTTTGTTGCATCAACACTGATTTGTAAAAAATACGGAAATACAGTAGTTCTATGTATCTACGGGATGTTTCAGAAGATGTAGAGACCACATATGTTCTGTGAAAGAAACATGCAGGATTCCCACCCAGTCATCCTTAGAAGGCTGGTTATACTCAGCCTCTGTAGTATAGGATTACTGAGACATCCTGCCCCACAAAGCTCTTTAGGCCATACTTGCAAGTATACAAATGCCTAGAAACCACATACAAAAAACCTTTTTATGTAATTGATTCACAAATACCATGTAATTTTATTTTTTTCTCACTTGACCTGTATGCATGTACAATTTTGAAGCAAATTGGCTATTAACATATTGGAGTAATAAATATTGTATAGTCAATAATGTAAGGTTGGGATGCTTCTAGACACCTGTGAGTGTGTAAGATTATTTCTTCAGGTATTTTACATTGGTGATATCAGTAACAATAACGGTAATGTTTATACTTTTGTTGAGTGTTCTCTGCATTGGACAGCGTGATGTGTTACACATTCCCAAGAATTATCTCATTTAATCACCATAGCAGTAGGAGACAGGTACTATTTTCTCTATTCTACAAATAGAAAATGAAAATGAAACACAGACAGCTTAAGTGAATGTCCCCATGCTACCCAGCCAGAAGGTTGCACAGGTGGTAGACCTTGAATCCTGAATCTGGAGTCAGACAATGAACTGCAACTGGAGTATACGGAATGACAGTACTGTCATTTGTTTTCAGGTTACCCTGCCATGCTTTCAAAGAATTGCTAATGTATTTTAGATAATTTTTAAAGTGAAAAATACAAAATATGTCATATTTGCTGTCTTAGTGAACTGTCAGTCATAGGTGGACTTTGCAAGTACTGATAAAGAATGAGATTGCAGGGTCAATAAATGTAAATCCCATGGACATCACACAAGATAGAGTATGCAGTTGCATTTCCTTCTGCTTCTTTTTAAAGATTATATTATGGTACCAAATACTGCAGAGATCATGAAGGTAAGATATGAAGACTGGCTGACTTCCTGGCAGATTTATCCTAAAGAAAAATTGAAACTGAGATCACAGTTGAGGAAATATGCAATGTGTAATACATCAGTCTTCCTCTAAATTCTAGAATTATTTTTTTCATTCATTTTTGTCAGCATTCAGAGCTCTCAGGGAAGTCAAAACTTAACCCAGGACTCTTAAAAAATAGCAGAGATGAAATATAAGAGTACCCACACGTGTTGTAATGGGAGCATCACAGCAAAGGTTGCTGTGTAGACATTAGAAATGGAACACCACACCCAAAAGGCTCAAGACGATAGAGATAACATTTTAGAGGCTTCTCTCTTATTTAACAGACTGGGCTTCCAGCTTGTCCCTTCGTTTTCTTTAATTCAACTTATATGGTTTGGCTGTGTCTCCACCCAAATCTCACCTTGAACTGTGATAATCCCCGTGTGTCAAGGGCAGGACCAGGTAGACATAATTGAATTGTGGAGGCAGTTTTCTCCATACTGTTCTCATGATAGTGAATAAGTCTCACGAAATCTAATGGTTTCATAAATGGACATTCCCCTGCACAAGCTTTTTTGCCTGCCATCATGTAAGATATGACTTTGTTCCTTATTTGCCTTCCACCAATATTGTGAGACCTCCTCAGCCATGTGGAACTGTGAGTCAATTCAACCTCTTTCCTTTATAAGTTACCAGGTCTCGGGTATGTCTTTATTAGCAGTGTAAGAACCCTGACTAATACATGGACCATCCAGGCATTTGCCTGAGAGCTTAAAGTGACCTACACCCTATTCTCTTACATATACTACTAGTTGCTAAACTTGCACACACACACACACACACACACACACACACTCTCTCTCTCTCTTTCTCTGCCTGACTCTTCATTCTTGCCTCACGTGACCTGAGGACAGCAGGTTGCCCTTCCAGCTCATTGCTCTCTGCCTAGAATCTGTAAGTAAAAATCTTTGAACATATTTCCTATTGTGGTGCTGTAATCAGTTTCTGTCTTCCCTCTGAAGAATCCCAGGCCAAGTTTTCCCCAGAATGCCAGAGAGAACACAAGGTTCACGGACAAGGTGATGGTTATGGCATAAAGTGGGCATAGGTTTAACAAAATAAAAAATTTTCCTATATGAGAGAGCCACCTGGTCATGGGTGAGACAATTAGGTATTAGTCTGACCAGCAGGTAAAAGAAGTATCCTGCAAAAGGCATACTTTATCCACCTATGTTCTACTCTTCTTGCTAACCACACCAGTGCTAGAACTCAGGTTTAGCTGGCGGCTCTGGAAACACATTATCAGTACATTTCTCAAGCACAGTAGCTAAAATGTAAGGAACTGGGGCTGTGCTTCTATTTTCTCATCTACTTTCTCTTCCTCTACATCTTTTTATCTTTTTTCAACTATACTATTCTATTTGTCTTTATTCCTCTTCTTACCTTCCTTTCCTTTCCTGCTAGACCATAGAATGTGGATACTGATAATTATATTTTGATGCATTTGAGAGAGATACAGGGGCAACTGAAATAGCTCCAGCTGGAGTTTAAATCAGAAAGAAAGAAGGTGTCTTAATAGTTTTGAAGGATCCTTTGTGGTTCTTTGAACTTGAGAAAGACCCTTCTAGTTAATAGAATGCAGGAAGGGAGATTCAGAATTGTAATCTTGGATATTCCATTTAATAGCCATGCATCGTTCTCATAGACTCTTTCCTCATCTGTAATTAATACTCCATAGCAATGCCATAATTACTAAATTGAGTGATGTGTATCAATTGTCTGATTCAGTTCATGCTTCTTTAAAAGCAAATCATATTTTCCCTTTCTTTACTATTAAAACAAATCTAGAAGTTAGCAAGTTGAGAGTTTAAATTTAAGTAGGTCTAGTCATCTGTAATTGTTGTTATGAGAAAAAAAAGTATGTTTCTCTTATCTTAAAAAAATCACCTATACATATTTTAATAATTAGATTAATACATCCCTCTATTGATTTTTGTTATTTTGTTTTATAAGGAAGAGAGTTTTTTAAAAGGAGTTTCAAAATCTAGTTTCATTGCAGAATGGGGCAATTTCCATAACTTGATGGAACCCATGCAATCCTGTGGCTTGAGTTATATTAATCCTTCCTTACCATCAGGGATTTTCCCAACAGAACATATATTTTTTTCCAGTGTAAGGACTGGTTGATTATGATTCTAGCTGCAACCGAAGCTGGAAATTTGGGTAACAAAGTGTTTTATACAATTAGCCTGTCCCAATAAAGCAAGTATGGCCACTTAGTTATTGTTCTATATCTGAAGTATCTTCTACTAAACTAAAGCTCACCTTAGTTCAAAATATTCTACAAATATGACTAATATGTCTTGCATATTGCATACTTTTCAGACTTAGCAAACTGCAGATACATATAAAATTAAAACTTTGAATAACTCTAGGCATACAGTATTACAATAAATCATCCAATAGCTATTGAAGAACATTGCATTGTTATGGCCTCTCCAACCGTGCAGAACTCTGAATCAATTAAACCTCTTTTTAAAATAAATTTCCCAGTCTCAGGCAGTTATTTATAGCAGTATGAGAACCAAATAATACACATATCAACTTTAAATAATCATTCTCCTCATCCCTAAAAGCTGCAGTTCCATCGGCCATTATTTGTTGCTCTCTACTTATTTTAATTTATAGTTTTAATGGAATGAAATAAAAAAGTAGAATATTATGCAGACATTAAAATTGTTGTAATGGCCAATAAGTAAAGGCATGGAAAATATCTTTGATATAATATAAAGTGATAAAGTAGAAAAAAATACATTTTTACAAATGTACAGCATTTACTATCAAAGATGTATACACAGGTTAAAAACTCAGAATTTAAAAATGCTAAGTTTTTAATGCATTGCAATTTGACCTCTTGGTAACTTTCAAAATATATTTAGCATTTTCTTTAATGTGTTTACATTGCTTCAAAAATAAAATATATTAAATTTGAGGACTTTCTTATGTTTCTGTGTATTTGAGCTGAAGATAGTGAATTTTGCTTGTAGACTTGTTTATAAATTAAGAGGGCATAGGCTTTGAATGAGAGCCCAAAGGATTTCAATTGAGATAGGTGCATAGATTAAAGGTAATGTATTTAAGTCCATAATTTTTGTTGTCAGAACTTTTTAAACATATCTGGTTACTAAGCTGAAGTCTGGATAACTGAGCTTTTAGGCACATTGCATTCAATTTCTATTCTTAGATGTTTCTTGCCATGATAATTAGAAAAGCAGTAATATAAAAATAAGACATTAGGAAGTAATGACACAAATTCACTTGGGCTTATTAGGATGGTCTCTCAGGATGATGATTTTCCACATTATGTTTTTAAATAAAATCACATTCTGAGGCACTGTGGTCAGGATTTCAGTATATCTTTTTTGGGGGACACAATTTATAATACTTTAGAAAGTCACACATAATAAAAAGAAATTTAAAAATATTTATATTTGGTTTACATCAAAATTGAGGTGAACCAAAATTGAAGTGAGAGTTTGAGCATCTATGGTTTAGATTACAGGAGACAACACTCCCACCACCTTCATAAAGAAGTACCTTTCTGTGCTAAAAATATTATGATCGTGGAAAAAAAAAAAGAACTATGTTTAAGGAAAAACAATGCATTGTAGAAAGATCTGAGACAAGTGTAAAATGGTAGGTCATAGGCCAAGAATGAAGACAGGAGGGGAAGAACTTTGGATGCCCCAAAGTTCTTGTGGGTGTAAGATCTTCCAGCCCACTGTTGTCGTAGTACTATTCTCTGTGATTTTGGATTTTTCTAGCTTTGTCAGTATTGTTTCCAGGAGACAGAAAAGTGGCCAAAACTCATTTTTCTGATGCTGGTGTAAGTTGTCTTGGAATCATTGTGGTTGTAAAACTTTGACTTGGATTGGTCTCCCTGGCATTAATATTCCTGGTTTGCCAGGGTTTGCTAGGCCTATCCAAAGGACATTAAGAATATTCAGTAGACCTATGATCCAGTAAACATAGTTCAGTGGAACTTCCATTGGTGTATCAGCTAAAAATAAATTAGGATTTTTAAGGATGTAAATACTTTTAACATTTTCCACATAACGTCTTATATTTCAACACTGGAGACACTGATTATGTTCATAAAAACTTTAATATGACTAAGAAGCATAAAAGATCTGGTAGAATAATTGAATGTCACAGAGTAAATAAAAAGATGCAAATACATCAGTAGGAAACTTCTTATAAATTTGACTTAATGTTTTATAGATGGTCAACTTGTAAGCTCTAATATTTTTGTCTATATTATTAAAAAGTAAAGAAAATGGTAGTCTGCCATTCTAGAAAGAGTTTTAACATATAATATGTGAATAATGTGGGGATTATTAAACATAGAATTTTATAAGAAAATATTTATTTTCCAAACTTAAAAGGTTATAGCATTTTCAACTTAAAATGGTTGTCAATTCTTTTTGTAAATCTTTTCTTTCTCTTATATCATCCCATCAACATATATTCTTTGTATTAACAGTTAAAGACAATGAATCAAAAAATTTTATTTTTTCCAGCTTTTTTTTTTTTTTTTTTTTTTGAGAAAGAATTGCTCTGTCTCTCAGGGTAGAGTCCAGCTCACCATAACCCTAAACTCTTGGACTCAAGTGATCCTCCTGCCTCTGCCCCCTGAGTAGATAGGTCTACAAGAGTGTGCCACCATGCGTTACTAATTTTAAAATGTTTTGTAGAGACAGGGTCTTACTGTTTGCCCAAGCTGTTCTCAAACTCCTTCGCTCAAGCAATTTCCCACCTCAGCCTCCTGAAGTACTGGAATTACAAATGCAAGCCACTGCAGCTGGTCTTTTCCAGCTTTATTGAGGCATAATTGGTATATGAAAAATTGCATATAACTAATGAATACAATTTGGTGAATTTGGACACACACACACACACACACATATATATATACAGATTCATATTTCAGTCACAATAGTTGAGATAATAAACATATATATTACCTCCGAAAGTTTCGTTTTCTTTTTCTTTCTTTCTTTCTTTCTTTTTTTTTTTTTTTTTTTTTTTTTTTTTTGGTGACAGAGTCTCACTCTGTTGCCAGGCTCAAGTGCAGTGGCAAGATCTTGGCTCACGACAAGATCTTGGCTCACTGCAATCTCCGCTTTATGCTTCCTGGTTTTAAGTGATTCTCCTGTCTCAGCCTCCCGAGTAGCTGGGACTACGGGTGTGTGCCACCACATCCAGCTAAGTTTTGTATTTTTAGTAGAGATGGGGTTTTCACCTTGTTGGCCAGGATGGTCTCGATCTCTTGACCTTGTGATCCGCCCACTTCAGCCTCCCAAAGTGCTGTGATTACAGGTATGAGTCACCGCACCCAGCCTCCTTTTCTTTTTTGTGCTTTTTGGTTGTTTTTGTTTTGTTTTGTGGCAAAAACATTTAGCATGAGATCTACCCTTAATAAAAAGAGAACACTTTTTTTCAGTACTAGTTCAATTTATACAATATCTTATTGTTAACTGTGGGCACTGTGTGATCCAGTAGATCTCT